TGTCTAGATGTCCCTGTGATGGACTGGACACCTGTCTAGATGTCTCTTTGATGGACTGCACACCTGTCTAGATGTCCTTGTGATGGACTGGAGACCTGTCTAGATGCCCCTGTAATAGACTGGAGACCTGTCTAGGTGTCCCTGTCATAGACTGGAGACCTGTCCATGTGTCCCTATGATGGGCTGGACACCTGTCTAGATGTCTCTGTGATGGACTGCACACCTGTCTAGGTGTCCCTGTGATGGACTGGAGACCTGTCTAGGTGTCCCTGTGATGGACTGGACACCTGTCTAGATGTCTCTGTGATGGACTGCACACATGTCTTGATGTCTGTGATGACTGGAGACATGTCTAGATGTCCCTGTGATGGACTGGAGACCTGTCTAGATGTCCCTGTGATGGACTGGAGATCTGTCTAGGTGTCCCTGTCATAGACTGGAGGTCAGTCTAGATGTCTCTGTGATGGACTGGACACCTGTCTAGATGTCCCTGTGATGGACTGGAGACCTGTCTAGGTGTCCCTGTCATAGACTGGAGACCTGTCCATGTGTCCCTACGATGGACTGGACACCTGTCTAGATGTCTCTGTGATGGACTGTATATGTCTAGGTGTCCCTGTGATGGACTGGACACCTGTCCAGGTGTCCCTGTGATGCATTGGACACCTGTTTAGATGTCCCTGTGATGGACTGGAGACCTGTCTAGGTGTCCCTATGATAGACTGAACACCTGTCTAGATGTCCCTCTGATGGACTGGACACCTGTCTAGATGTCCCTGTGAAGGTCTGGAGACCTGTCTAGGTGTCCCTGTCATAGACTGGAGACCTGTTCAAGGGTCCCTATGATGGACTGGACACCTGTCTAGATGTATCTGTGATGGACTGCACACCTGTCTAGGTGTCCATGAGATGGATTGGAGACCTGTCTAGGTTTCCCGGTATGGACAGGACACATGTCTAGATGTCCTTGTGATGGACTGGAGACCTGTCTAGATGTCCCTGTGATGGACTGGACACCTGTCTAGATGTCTCT